GGTGTCCTTGATTCCCAGGCCTGGAGAGGAATTGTGTCCAAAATGGGGAAGCTGACATTCTATATGGAATTTAGAGTTCTGCACCAAAGAACTGCAGGATTGTAAATGTATGAAAAATATAAAAGCTAAAATCCTAAATCAGGATCCTAAACCGTGCTCAGGGGGCAGATTTTGGCCTTTGTGGGCACCCCAGGATGGGCACAGCCCCCATTCCTGCTGGCTCCAGCCCAGGCTGAGGCGCTGAGTTCTCTGTGCCCCGTTCCCCCTCTGAGGATCGAGGGAAGGTGGGAACCTTTTCCAAGTGAGATTCCCAGGAATGCTGGTGGGATTATCCAAGCTCCCAGGGAAGGGCTGTCTGTGCCAGCCTCACTCCTCTGCCACACAGAGGATGGGCATTAACCAGGACAGGGAAAATTTTGGGGCTGTGGTGATGTTGTGCATCTCTCATTCGCTCTTCCAGAGCTTTCCTGAAGCTTTTCCCCCCATAAATTCCATAAATCCCTTGGTTTTCGGTGTCTCACACTGAGCTGGGATGTGCAGGTGGCTTTTGTGGATGTGTCAGGGTGGATTTCACCTGTGCATTGATTTAAGTAAATCTCTTTTTTTTCAAACCTGTACAATTCCATCGTTGTGTGTGGCACTGGCAATAATTTTCAGGAGGTCTGTGAGTGAAATATTCAGGTTTTGATACAAAATACTGTTATTTTTTTGAGGATTTTGAATGCAACACAGCAAGGAAAATACAAGTGTAAAATAGGTGGCAGGGAGAGGCAACCAGGAGAACTCAGGGGGTCACGAGGCTGCTGAAACCTTTTAATCAAATACTTTGACTATCACAAGAATCTTAGTCACCCAGTTAGGAAAATTTGGGGTTTTTTACTCTTTTTAAAGAGGTTATCTCACTGAAGGAATCCATGGATGGAGCACTTCTCCTATGAGGGAAGGCTGAGGGAATTGGGATTGTTCAGCCTGGAGAAAAGGAGGCTCTGGGGACATCTCAGAGCCTTTTCCAGGACCTAAAAGGGTATCAGGAGGCTTGGGATAAGGGATGGAGTGACAGGACAAGGGCTCATGATTTTAACTAAAATTGGGAGGATTCAGACTGGATGTAGGGAAGAAATCCTTGCCTGGGAGGGTGGGGAGGCCCTGAGGGTGCCCAGAGCAGCTGGGGCTGCCCCTGGATCCCTGGAAATGTCCAAAACCAGGCTGGACAACCTATTCTGGGACTCTGTGAGACTTTTCCTTCAAACAGAGATCACAGCACCTTCTCCTAAGAGAAAAACTGCATTTCTCCCTGCTTTTTTCCCTACTCCACTTCCCCTCCACGCTCCTTGCAGCATCTCTGCCTTTCCCCTTGTGTCGGACTGAAGGGGCCCAGCCCGGCTCACTCACACAAATTTATCCTCAGAGTCTGCTGCTTGTGCTAAACATCAACCACAGCAGGGGAAAAATCCCATTTTCAGGTTATATCTGATTATATGAAGGTGCTTTATTAAGAGCTCTGGGTGTCAGGGGTACACAGACCCAAATCTGACCCGCCTTGGTTTGGAGCTGAACATGTTTTATACTCTATCATTATGTAACTTACATTGTATACATTGAGTTTACCCAAGCATGGATTTCTCGTGATCCCCCTCAAACCCCTAACATAGTTTCTCATGATTCTTTAAACAATAATTATATCTAATCATATCTAACAATTATATAATTTATCATTTACTGACTACACAGGTGCAGTTTCACATGATCTTAGCAATCACAAGGCCTAACATTTCCCAGGGCCTACTTTTAACACTTTTCCCAGGGCTTGCCAAGCCTAACTTTCTTTCTAACTCCCTGAATTTTCTATGATCTTAAAACCTTTTACTATCATGGGGAGGAGGAATAAAACGGAGAAAAGAGAAAAAAGCGAAAGGGAAACTCGCCAGTGGCGCCCTGGGGTGAGGAAGAGCAGGAGCATCCCTCAATAATCCCTTTCCCCAGCTCCTTCCCCCACTCTTTGAAGTCTCCCATTGTCAGTCCCGAGGCTGGAAGCGTTGATTGGAGCAGGCTTTGATTAGGAGCAGATGTGGCAGCGCTAATTACCCGTTGAGCTCAGCCCCGGGTGATGTTTAGGACTGGTTTTAATGACCCTTGTCCCCTGTTGTTGTGTGGGAGGCTCCTGGGGTGAGGTGAGAGCACAAAGGAAGGGCAGGAAAAGGGAGAGGAGCGTTCCCAGCAGTTGTAATTAAAGGTGTAATTAACTCCCCTAATCACTTCCCAGTGTCACACACAGCACGGGGCCGGTTTAGGATCGGGTTTAGAGATGTGTGGCTTAGGGCACTGTGGGCTCAGGGTTAGTCTTAGGCCTGGATTTGGCAGCTTTCCCAAGGAAAGGGCATTGGGAAATTTCTTGCTTGCTCGGCCTGCCCCACACCCTGTCCCGGGGCTTCATTTCCAGGGTCTCCTTTTCTTCCCCATCCTGCTTCCTGGGAATGGTTTTTGGTGTTGAAAGAAAAAGAGAGAGACAGAGAGAGAAAGAGAAAAGAAGAGAAAAGAAAAGATAAAATAGAAAAAAGAAAATAAAAGAGAAAATAAAACAAAAAAAAAGAAGAGAAAAGAAAGCGAAAAGAAAAAAGAAAATAAAGAAAAGAAAGAAAAAGAAAAAAGAAAAGAAAAAAGAAAAGAAAAGAGAAAATAAAATAAATAAAATAGGAAAAAGAAAAGAAAATAAAAGAGAAAAAAAAGAAAAAAAGAATAGAAAAGAAAGCGAAAAGAAAAAAAGAATAGAAAGTGAAAAGAAAAAGAAAAAAGAAAATAAAAGAAGAGAAAATAAAATAAATAAAATAGGAAAAAGAAAAGAAAATAGAAAATAAATAAAAATAGAAAAAAGAAAAGAAAAGAAAAGAAATAAAATAGGAAAAAGAAAAGATAAAATAAAATAAATAAAATATAAAAAATAAAAGAAAAGAGAAAATAAAAGAAAAAAAGAAGAGAAAAGAAAGCAAAAAGAAAAGAAGAAAGAAAAGAAAAAGAAAAAAGAAAAGAAAGAAAAAAGAAAAGAGAAGAGAAAATAAATAAAATAGAAAAAAAAGAAAATAAAAGAGAAAATAAAAGAGAAAATAAAAGAAAAAAGAAAATAGTAAAAAAGGAGAGAAAAAAAAAGAAAAAGAAAATAAAAAGAAAAGAAAAAGAAAAGAGAAAAAAGAAAATAAGCTACCACTGACTTTTCACCTCCTTGAACAGCAATTATTCCCCTTGGGCTGCTGAATTCCAGCTTTGTTCCCTAAAATTCCAGATAATCTGATTCTATTCCTGTAGGGAAGCAATTTTATCATCACATTTCGATGCAGGGGGATCTGGATGAAGGAACTTTAGACTTGATGGATTTTGAAGATCCAAGCAATATTTTTCTTTCTATATATGTTCTAGAAAATCTCTGTTCCCTGCCCTTGTTCCCATTCAGAAATGTGGTTGCTTGGCTTCACACCCCCATCCTGCTTTTTTTAAAAGCAGGAAAAAGGAAGAGTTAAGAGCTCCCTATTTATCTTCCCAAAAATATCCTCAGAGGGTCTCAGTTGTCCTGGATTTTTAACAGAAATCCTGGGTTGTCCACATTGGACAAATCTGGTGTTTGAAATGGGAAAAGTCCAGTGGAAAAAGTCATTTCCTCTGGACACGTTTAAGTTCCAAAAAGAAATAAAAATTTTTGGCTGTGCAATGTCAGTAGGAAAATCTCTTTGTGATTTTATTTTTCCTTTTCTGAAGCACAAGAAGTCAAATCGAAATTGTCAGAACTAAAATTAAAAAAAAAAGTCTCCTGCAGAAGAATTTTCAGTTTTCCCAGTCCTGTTTATCCTCTCTGGGGGATAATGGGGATGGGTTGGGGATGGGGATGGGGATGGGGATGGGGATGGGGATGGGT